AGAGACATATCCCAACAGACTAAAGGCTGTAATTAAAGCAAAAATGGTTCAACAAAATACTGACACAAAATGGTGATCCTTTTTCCAACTTTTTTCAAATTTATTTTTTAATTTTTTTCTAATGTGATGATGTTATATCTTTCACTTGGATGTTATAAGTTGCACTGAGTAAATACAGCTGGATAAAACAAAATTCATGTCCGTCTTCATTTCAGGCTGCAAAGCAACAAAATGCGATTATTTTAAAAGGGGTAATTCTTTTCTATACCCACTGTACATACACAGTCAGAGCCCGTCTTATTCAGAGTGCAGTGTCTCACTATCAACAATATAATGTGTGTGAGCTAGCTGTGTTTGATACATGAGCTAGACCTTACAAGCAGGTTGAATTCCTCAGTGCACCTGTTCATGCCCTGAAAATTAGTCCACTAATTATTTAAGATAGGATTTTTTTCTTTCTAATATTATACATTGTCACATCTCTCAGGTATGCTTCTACTTTGTAGTATTGTACTAAAGTCCTCACATTAGTTGTGTTCATACATTTTTTTCACTTTACTGTTAATGATCTAAGGAAAAGTGTGTTGATTCATGTGAATGTGACAAACATTCTGGAGTGTAAAACAAGTGTAACTCTGTGCTTAGTCTTTGTACTATGAAATGAACTAGCTAGTCATGACTGTTTCCCAATACCATAGTAACATGGTCCTGAACCACTGGTGTTGAACCAATAATTAATCACAGGTTCCCTCTTACATCATACACTGGGATTTCCTTACACTTTTATGCACATGTGCATTCTTCAAAAATGACACTGATTGTAAAATCGCTAAAATATATAGATTTAAATTTATATATTTAAAAGTCCATGTTACACTAACAGGATACTATGCTTCTAACCACAGATCGAGAGCTGTTGTTCCAACCACACAAGTTTGTGATGCTGTCTGCGAATGTTTGTTGGAACAATGGTTTTGAGAAATGCCAAATTGTTGAACTTGGAACCGAATGTTGGTACTGACAGAACAACCATAGCTGGCTAACGATGCTTTTAGGAAACACACCTCTGTAACTTTTTGTCAGAGTTTGTTAAAGATGCTTCAGCATGGGCCGACTCCGCACCCTGTTTCTCTCTTGTCCATTAAACTAAGGGTGATGCTGACACCCCTGTCCCTCATGGGAGCAGCAGGTATAGGAGTGTTTTTGTGAGCAGGGGAATTCCTGCACTAACCAGAGGGAGTAATTACCCCCTCCTCCACCCCCAAGCAAAGTGGTTAATGTTAGCAATGCTTATGTATGTAGTAAACAGGTGTACAGCTGGATCAAATAACTGATAAGCTGCTTAAAGGCATTCCTGTAGTCCAGGAATGCCTTTAATTAAATTTTTTTTAATTTGTCAAGACGAAAAGAAAGGCATCTTTATGTTTCAGTGCTCTGCTGCAGACCTTTAGCTCGTGTGAATACAGATGTTTTCTAATCAATTGTTTCCTCTCTCTTAGGGTTAGGGTCAGGTTTAGGGTTAAGGGTTAAGGTCAGGGATCAATGCAGGTGACCTCTACTTCTTCTCAAGTGTAATGCATCTGACTGGGTCTGAGATCAGAGCTTCCACAGAGAAAATGATGCCACAGTTGAGTCTCTAGATAACTATACATTGTGTTTTACTCACTGAAGCTTTTCAGTGGTAATGGTACTCACAGATTTTTCACCCAGAGATTGTGCTTTCATTTTAATCAATGCACTTCCAGTTTTGACTTTGAACTTGTTTGAACTAAATTATGTGCTTTGCCATTTTTGAGTTTTTGTTTTCAGTTCATAGAAAGATTTTGTAGTCTGTTTTAATCAATTAATGTATTTTTTAATAAGTTGTTTACAATGAGAAGGTATAATTTAAAGGAGTGAACATATTTGCTATTCTCAGCAAAATCATACAAGTTGAACAACATTTAATGGTATTCAATATATCAGAGTATGACAAGTATTCAGTCAGTGGTGTGCTTGGAGGAAGTTTGTGTGTTTGTAGGGTTTGTATGATAATGCATATCAGCATGCACTAGTTTATGTGTTGCTTGAGAGGTCTCGGTTTGTGTAAGGATGTACACACATACAGTATAGACCCTCATATCAACATCTAAATGAGCCTTTGGCTGGGATATACATGTGCCACTCTTAATCCCTCATCCAGAAACATTAAATGAATTCATGTATTTGCTGCAGTTGTACAGATTAAAAGGAACCAGGAACCTAGGCTGTGTGTGCATCGAACGTGTAAACTGTGAATATTGTCTGCCCTGAAATCCATGATTCATATTTGATGGACTTATCCTTAATGTGACAAAATGACTGTTTGTGTTCAGAATACTAAGTAATGAACAATTTAATCACTTCTTCAGCTCCTTTTCTGTCCAATTTTTATTCTAGTAGAATAAAGAGAAGTTGACAGTTAATGTTGTGTTAATGAAAGCCACTCATATTCATGAAATTCTACCTCATCAGTACTCAATCCAACATAAGGCATTTCAGTTTACTCATCTCGCAATGGCTTTTTTTTTTAAATTAGTCATTTGAAAACAATTATTGTAATTATGCACACAAAACCTCCTTTTCAGTATTTTTTTGTAATTTCGTACCTCAGAGTTTTTGTTTGAGTCATGTTTTTTTTTGCTCAAGTCTGCTTTGTACAGAGAGAGAACAGCATCACCGGTGCATGACGATAATTGGTGAGCAATGGAGTTTGTGATTGTTTAGTTATGGATCCATCTCTTTGTCTCTTAATTAATGCATGCAGAACAGGAGCAGGTGATCACACAATCTTTGATGGCAGTAAGTGATCCAGCGTTCTGGCTGAGGGATAAAGAAAGCTGTTAACGCCTGTCTATCTGGGGTGTAAGTTTACTCAGTTCTAACGGACAGTGTGCTGGGAACTCTCAGAGACCCTCAGGCCAATGGAAATGATTCACTGCAATATTACAAGATCTTTATCAGAGAGAGAGAGAGAAGCTCTTTGGATCTGTGAGAATGAGAATAGGCTGCTTTTCTCATGTCACCAGTCAGATTTTTCTTTCATCCCTCTACCCTTCCAAATATTCTTGTCTCAGGCAGAATCTTCAGAGCTCTTGCATCGTACTTGCATGGCATACTTACATGCATAATTAAACTCAAACGTGCATCCTGTGTGCTGTTTCAGTATGTTCACAGGCGTGATACACTGTGTGCATGTGTGTATTTCAGGCTCCTCGAACATGGTGATGAATGTTTCGAGCCACATGCATGTCCGTGCTTGTGGAAAGGGAAAGAATATTATCCAGGAGACAGAGTATCGTCCCCCTGCCATCAGTGGTGAGATTACATTAACTCATATTCTGTGCATTCATTTCTTTGTGTTTTTACACCAGACATTTTGCTATACTACATCTTATATACTACAAGAAATGTTATATCAAAGATTATGTGGTCACTTGAATTTTGGTACTTCCTTGTTTTAAATTATGAATATGAAGAAAACTTGTGTAACAGTGTAAATTTCCCAATTTTTTAGATATGAAATAAATCAAATAGCAAATTTGGTAGAGACACAAAATGTCAATGACACTCAGCACAAACATTTTCACTTAGCATCTCCTAGGGAAAAGGAAAGAGAGAAAATGTGCAGTGAAACTTTCTCTGAATGTTATTATTTTGCAGTGTGTGTCAGCACGGCACGTTTCAGTGTGAGTTTCGCCCATGTCCATCAATGTGCACGGCTTATGGAGATCGACACTACAGAACATTTGATGGGTTCCTGTTTGATTATATTGGTGCATGCAAGGTGTATTTGGTCAAGGTGAGCTTTTAGCAACAGATCCAGGTATTCATAACTCATTCTAGAAAAATGTATTATTGTTGTTGACTACTAATGTGTGCTCCTGTGTGTTAGAGCTCATTAGATTCAATGATGACTGTCACAGCAGAGAATGTTGACTGCTTTGAGAGTGGCGTGATCTGCAGGAAATCTCTCCTCATCTCCTTGGGACGCTCCTTCATTGTGTTTGATGATGACACCGGGAAACCTGTGAGTGAGCTTTTCTCTTTTCTGTATAAAACATTATAAAAACTATAATTATAATTAGTTGTCACCTAATAAATATAATGTGCCCCAGCCATATTCAGCTCATTCCTGTGCGCCCCTGGGTAGGAGTGAATATACTTTGGCGGAATATATTTTTAATTCATCATAGTGTTGGTCATAATGTGTCGTAGTGCTGAAATCAGATGGTGTTGCGTCTGTAGTCTTATGTTTCTTGAAACATTGATTTGCTGTGAAACGACTGAGGTACGTTAACAATGGTTGATAATGATTGGCGGATATGTTTCACATGCAGAACCCATCCAGTGTGATTGAGAGGCAGAAAGTATATATCTGGCAAGCAGGATACTACACCATTGTGCATCTGCTTGGGGAAGACCTCACAGTGCTGTGGGACAGAAAAACCACTGTACATATACAAGCTGGACCACGCTGGCAGGTAAAAAAAACACACACACAAAGAAGGTGAAACTGATTCCTGTAAGTGTAAACTTGAAGTTTTGCAGATCAATCATTTGCAGATCAATTTTGATTTCCTTACAAGCGTGTATTTGTGTGTTTATGCTATTTTTAGGGCAAGCTTACTGGTCTTTGTGGGAACTTTGATCAGAAGACAGCGAATGAGATGAGAACACCAGAGAACATTGACTCGTCAACACCACAGGAGTTTGGCAACAGCTGGACAGCATCAGAGGCATGGCAAACAGATAAACACACATACACTACCGGTCAAACGTTTTTGGAATAAATTGGGATTTTTGAAGGTTTTTGGAAAAAGCCTCTTATGCTTACCAAGGCTGCATTTATTTGATCAAAATAATAATGTAATGTAATTTAAATACAGTAACAACAGTAATATTATGAAATTTACATTTATATCCCAGCCAAATTACTGTAATTTAAAATAACTGTTTTCTATTTTAATATATTTTAAAATGTAATTTATACCTTTGATGGCTTCAAATAGAAAGGAGTTGCTTTAAATTGTAATGTATTTCATTACAGTTACTGTTTACAGCCTTGGTGAGCGTACGATAATTTTTTCAAAAACATTAAAAAATCCTAATTATTCCAAACTTTTGTCCAGTAGTGTATGCAAAACACGAATGCACACTTTTATCTAACTCCCTTTGTTAGATGACTAAACGTGTGTTTTTGCCCTTCAGAATGTCTCAGATCTGGCAGTAGCTACAAATCAAACACTCTAATCAAACTCTTTACACTGACTGTGTCTGTTTGTGTGTGTGTGAATGTCCCATCAGTGTGTGAACAGTCCTGATATAAGGCACCCCTGCAATCTGAATCCTCTTCGAGAGCCCTTTGCAAAAAGACAGTGTGGGATTTTGCTCAGTGAAGTGTTCCAAGTCTGCCACCCTGTGGTAAGCTGATCCCAAATACCAGCAGACATTAATGCTCACATTCATATTGAGTTCAAATGTACATGTGAGTGAGACAGGGTTTCTGTGTTTAAAGGTGTTTGATGCTCTGTAGGTAGATGTCACATGGTTCTATATGAACTGCCTGGTGGACACCTGTGGCTGCAACCGTGGAGGAGACTGTGAGTGTTTCTGCACGAGTGTTGCAGCATATGCTCACCGCTGCTGCCAAAAGGGCGTCACCATTGATTGGCGCTCCCCCTCTGTCTGCCGTGAGTGACGACTCAGCCCAGTCATATTACTAGAGTCAATCATTGTAATAATAACCAATAACTGAATATATAATGGTGTCGGTGAATACACATTCTTCTAAAAGACAATGATAGTTCGGAGGAAGAAGGAACTGAGCGATCTATATTACAGTTTTTCATCACATGGTACTGTGTAATGAGTAATACAATCTGCTTCTTCTTACAGCTTATGACTGTGAATACTACAACAAAGGTACATCTGTAGTTTTTTAATGATAATGATATTTACACATATGTATATACAGTATGTGTATGTGTATATATAATTTTGACAATTGTGTATGTGGGAATGCACGTCTGCATAGCTTTAGGGAAAGGGCCCCTGAAGCTGTTGACCTACAGAGAGAGAGGAACACTGTTGGCAGCCAATAAGACAAGTGGACTAGTGTTCCCAAAAAGAGAAATGACCAGTACTGACGAGATCCTAATGTTGTTCATGATGACGCCAGGCATCAGCAAAGCCAGACCACATGGTCAGTCCGACACAAGCACACAATCAACATATAAAAATGCTCAAGTGACTTTTATGAACAAATATATAGTAAAGCATGCAAGTTTCAGACCAAATCTAAACATTTTGTAGCACAAACCTCCCACTTTAGATGTATTATTCTATGTATATACTGTATGTGTTGCTTTTCTAAATGAGTATGTTGTTAATGCTGCAGACACATCTCTGGTGTCATTTGAGGCGGCAGACAGACCCAACTACTACTTAAAAGCAGAGCGCAGTGGCCAGCTGAGGCTGCAGAAGTGGGAAGAAACTGAGGCATTCTGGGATGCAGCTTCATTTGTTCTTCATAGAGACACCTGGATCTCAGGCTTTGATTCGCTAGAGTCCCTTGCAAAGCCAGGGTTCTTTCTGCATTTCATGCTGTCTAGACTCCAACTCATGAAATACAGTCACTCAGATCGGTACCGCCGAGCTACTCTATTCAAACTGACAGGTCAGCATGTGGCTACATACGTGCACAAACTTGCTCATAATCACACAGAAATATTACACAGAAATATCCCTTTTTCCCCCCCAAATCATTACTTTTACTACAGGAGCCATACCACACTATCCAATGGGTCCAAGATGCCAGTGGCGGTATGAATCATGTGTGAGTCCGTGCTTCAGGACATGCAGTGACCCATCAGGTTTGAGCTGTGCCAGTATCCTGAAGTAAGAGCACACACATTCATGTTCATGCATGCAAACATGCACACATTCGTTTTCTGCAAATATCTACAAGTATCTAAATTGTGTAAGTGTATGGCTGACATGCACCTTTCTGTAGGGTTGAGGGATGCCTGCCTCAGTGTCCAAGTCACATGGTTCTAGATGAGGTCACTCACAGATGTGTCTTTATGGAGGACTGTAAGCTACTGTTTATGCTACTTCTATTACTAATGCTGGTGTAAAATAAAATCACTGACCATTTTTATTTTAATGAGGTAAATGATAGGTTGGAATTTACTTCCACAATCATTGTCACATGATTTGACTAAGGCAGCTTATGTTACCTTCCAGTTACAACTTCGTAAATGCCATTTTAACCAGCGCTAATGCTAGCAATCATTGAGAAAAACATTTCTTACCACTAGTTGTAAATGGAGCAATTTAAAAATAATTTTGTTGTTTGTCTTTTTATTGCCATAGTAAATCCAAGCTCCAGTTTAGATAGCTTAACGTAACACAATTAGCTATATCAGTTTAAATTAGATATTTTGTGCAGTGTCTAATAAAAATCGTGTTTGTGTTTAGGCATTAAGCCTGCCGTTGTTCCTCCATTCACGCCACCCAGTACTGCAGTATCATCAACATCCTCCTCAGAGCATTCCACCTTGAGTGGTGGAGCGGTTTCTATATCACTCACTTCTTCAACAGTGTCAGAGTCTAGCACCACTGCTTCCACACCTACAGCACACATGCCAAGCACTGCAAAGCTTACATCTTCTCCTATCAGACCTGGAGTGCTGGAAACTATTACCACATTAACAACATCCACTTCCTCCCCAAGTCCGCTGGCTTCTACTGAGAGAACCACTAAAGAATCAACCATCACCCACAGTTCCACTTCCTCCACCACACTGCAAACTAGCCCAATGTCTATCTCAGAAACTCTCTCAGGCACCTCTACAACAAGCAAGCCAACAGAGTCTTTGACACTTCTCACACGTACCACAACTATCCCCTCACCGTCTACTTTTAGTCCTGCTCTGTCGTCTACCTCAAGTAAAGAGCCGATCAGAGTAAGCACTCTACCTGTGCTTCCAGTCTCAACCAGCATAAGCTCCACAGAAGCCACTTCCCCAACAGTCAAAGTGTCATCTCCTCTCACCTATAGTACTGAGACCCCCAGAGTCTCAGAGGCCTTTATACCTACTGAAAAGACCACAATGCCCTCTGTGACTTCAAGTGGCAGCACACAGTTTCCTGTTGAAACCATCAGCATGACAAAGTCCACCTCATCATCGACCACAACACCTATGCTAGAATTGAGTACCTCTGTCACCACAGAAAAATTGACCTTTCCATCATCTTTACACACTGTGAAGACCCCTGGGAGCACCTCTGAAACCCAGAAGCCTTTGGACATCACTACCATTTCCACTTCCCCTACAGATATTGAAGCATCAACCACTCACATTACAGTAAAATCCACAAGTTCTGCTTTTCCAACACCACCTTCAGTTCAAACGACACCTTTTATTCCTTCAACATCAACCTCAGAGCAACCCAAAACTTCAAAAACAACAGTGTCTGTTTCCACAGCTGCTACAACAACCTTCATCACCACAGTGTCCTCTCAAGCTGCATTTGTGCCAACAGAAACTACAGCAAAAACAACCTATCAGCCAACTTCTATTATATATCCTTATCCTGATGTTCCAACAACTGATGGAACATTGCAGACAGATTGGAGAGTGATCCAAACCACATCAACTCCATCACCAGAAACAACCCAAACCAGTGCCAGGACAGCAGAGACACCACTTACCACCTACACCACCATGCCATTCACCTCGGCACCTACAGAAGAAACATCAACACTGCTTACATCACATGTGTCACCCATTGACAAAACAACTTCTAGAGTTGTCTCAGCTTCTACTATGCTGAGCTCTACAGAGTCTCACTGGAGTTTAGTTTCCACCACTGCTCTCCTTTCAGACAAAGTCAGCACATCACCAGTTCATCCTCCTTATTCTATGACAACTATGACCACCACATCTGAACTTCCTGAGATTTCTCCAGCTTCACCATCCATACTTACAATGGCAACATCAGTATCTGAAGCCCCAACAAAAACCACAGAAACAACCATCACTTCTGAGAAACCTCTGCTAACGTCTACTGCAGCTGAGGAGATTGTTTCTACCACTCAAACATCTACAGCTAGACCTTGGAGTATACATTCTATCACCGAGACAACTAGGGTTTCTCTTGACACAGATAGAGCTGTGCTGTCAACCTCTGCGACAACCCAGATGTCAACACTGGTCCATGAGACCTCCAGCACCTTTCCTTCAATGACTTCAATGACAATGATTCCAAAATTCACAACCCGTGTCACACCAGTCTTGACCTCACGGGTGGCTGTGGCTACCACACGGCGAGAAACTCCACGGGTTGTGGCCACAACCAGCATTTCACTTCCAACTAGGAATGCAACGACATTGACAACACCTGCAACCACTTATACAGATAAAGTGACCACTGTTTTCACAGATACAACTACTTCTAGTATCCCTGTTGCTGCTTCTAGCACTCTTCCAACACACAGTCCTGACACCACTGAATACACCTTTGGATTTACAGAGTACACTACTGAATCTGGTCTGACCACAACACTGCAATCATCAATTGGAACAACTCCAGTGCCTAGTGTGGCATCAGTTGTTACCCAGACTACCATTTCAACACATTCCACTTCCCCTACAGACATTGAAGCATCAACCACTCACATTACAGTAAAATCCACAAGTTCTGCTTTTCCAACACCACCTTCAGTTCAAACGACACCTTTTATTCCTTCAACATCAACCTCAGAGCAACCCAAAACTTCAAAAACAACAGTGTCTGTTTCCACAGCTGCTACAACAACCTTCATCACCACAGTGTCCTCTCAAGCTGCATTTGTGCCAACAGAAACTACAGCAAAAACAACCTATCAGCCAACTTCTATTATATATCCTTATCCTGATGTTCCAACAACTGATGGAACATTGCAGACAGATTGGAGAGTGATCCAAACCACATCAACTCCATCACCAGAAACAACCCAAACCAGTGCCAGGACAGCAGAGACACCACTTACCACCTACACCACCATGCCATTCACCTCGGCACCTACAGAAGAAACATCAACACTGCTTACATCACATGTGTCACCCATTGACAAAACAACTTCTAGAGTTGTCTCAGCTTCTACTATGCTGAGCTCTACAGAGTCTCACTGGAGTTTAGTTTCCACCACTGCTCTCCTTTCAGACAAAGTCAGCACATCACCAGTTCATCCTCCTTATTCTATGACAACTATGACCACCACATCTGAACTTCCTGAGATTTCTCCAGCTTCACCATCCATACTTACAATGGCAACATCAGTATCTGAAGCCCCAACAAAAACCACAGAAACAACCATCACTTCTGAGAAACCTCTGCTAACGTCTACTGCAGCTGAGGAGATTGTTTCTACCACTCAAACATCTACAGCTAGACCTTGGAGTATACATTCTATCACCGAGACAACTAGGGTTTCTCTTGACACAGATAGAGCTGTGCTGTCAACCTCTGCGACAACCCAGATGTCAACACTGGTCCATGAGACCTCCAGCACCTTTCCTTCAATGACTTCAATGACAATGATTCCAAAATTCACAACCCGTGTCACACCAGTCTTGACCTCACGGGTGGCTGTGGCTACCACACGGCGAGAAACTCCACGGGTTGTGGCCACAACCAGCATTTCACTTCCAACTAGGAATGCAACGACATTGACAACACCTGCAACCACTTATACAGATAAAGTGACCACTGTTTTCACAGATACAACTACTTCTAGTATCCCTGTTGCTGCTTCTAGCACTCTTCCAACACACAGTCCTGACACCACTGAATACACCTTTGGATTTACAGAGTACACTACTGAATCTGGTCTGACCACAACACTGCAATCATCAATTGGAACAACTCCAGTGCCTAGTGTGGCATCAGTTGTTACCCAGACTACCATTTCAACACAGCCCCCTTCTTCCTCTACTGTCACTGAGAGTAGTCCCATAACCAGTGCAAGTGCCTATACTGAGCGCCCTCTGGTGGATGAACACACCACAGTCACAGCCACGGCACCTGCTCCAGACACTTCCCAAACAACACTGAGTTCATCTGTGATGACCACTCTTCCCTACACGATAGAAACAGAGCACTGGATGACGAGCCAGACACATGCAGTTTTAAAAACTACAGCTCTCGAGCCAAGCAGAGTATGCACCGTAAGTCAATTATAAAATACTTTTATATAGTATTAGCTGTCTTTAATTATGTGGTGGTATGAACAAATGTTTATATATATATATATATATATATATATATATATATTGACTTTGTAAATTTTGTATATCCAAAGTCAGTTATTACACACTAAACTAAATAATGTGTGTGTGTGTGTGTGTAGTCTCCATATTCAGAGGTAGTGGATGAATGTACAAAGCTTATTTGTGTCAGTGGCCAGTTGCTCCTCTTCAATAAGTCTCAGAGCTGCCCATATGATGCTACACCTCCAAACTGTGGTCTGCTTGGCTTTGCTGTACTGGTCAATGGTGATAAGTGTTGTCCACGATGGGACTGTCCATGTGAGGAACACCTGCATTACACACATTACTATGATCTTTTCTATTCTGTCATTTGTTAGACTATTGAATGTTTATTAAGATATACATTTTATTTTGGCATGTAGGTCGTTGTTCAGTGTTTCCAGATCTTAATCTGATCACATTTGATGGGAAAAGTGTTGCGATTTATAAAGCTGCTTTATATGTGGTGACTCAGCTTCCCAATGAGACTGTTAGCATCTTGATGCAAGAGTGTTCTGGACCAGATGACACTGTAAGATATGCACAACTCCATTGTTTTGCCTAACTTCAGGATAGCTCCTCACAACTCAAGTGATATATTCTATTCTATTTGATTCCAGCTTGTGTGGAACTTTACCCATTTGTGTCTGGCAGCTTTAAACATTACTCATAAATCCAATGAAGTGCTCATCAATCGTCTGCAGAGACGCGTGAGTATCCATCTGTTTGCAATTCTTGGGATTACCTGCCACTTTTGTAGTGGCAGTAGATTACAAAAAAAGAGGTTTGAATAAACTGGACATTTTTATTATTCCAGCCTGGCAGATTTACATGAATGAAAGAGGTTCAGAAATACAATGGGTTGTTTTTCCAGCTATATGTGAACTCCAGGTACGCCAAGCCACGCTTTAAGAAGTTTGGTTTTGAGATTCTGGACACAGGAAACATGTATCTAATCCGAAGCCCAGCTGGTCTGAAGATCCAGTGGTTCCACACTACAGGCTTGATGGTGATTGAGATGGACAGCTATAACAACAGACTGCCCACAGTGGGCTTGTGTGGTACGAAGCCATTAACCACAGATTATATGTTTTGTAAAAATGATCGTGTCATATTTTAATGCCATCTACTTCCTTCATGTTCCTCAATCTCCACCTCTCTCATCTTTCTCTTTGTCACCCTGTCCAGGTAGTTGTGATGGTAATCCTCTGAATGATCTGACTCTGTCTAACGGTACAGTTGTGTCTGAGCAAGAGGATCCGGCCGTGTTCATCGATAGCTGGCAGATTCCCAACACCACCAGCTACGTCAGCCACAGCAGACGGAGGGAGGTCAACTGCACCACGGGCGACTGCTCCCAGTGCATGAGCATGCTGAGCAACCGTACCTTCACCATCTGCCATCCTTACGTACGGCACACAACATGCACATCCCACCAATACCAAACCTGCAACCACACCTGTGATTATGCACTACAATTCCTGAATGTTTTTTTTTTTGTGCTGCAGGTCCCACCAGCAATGTTCTGTGAGATGTGGGTGAGAGATGTGGAGTATGTGAATAATCCATGTGTTGCTTTGGCCGCTTATGCTGCTTCCTGCCACAAATTCAACATCTGCATGGAATGGAGGAGCTCTGATTTCTGCCGTATGTAGTCAACGAGGCATACCAACACAGCTTTAAGTAACAATGCTTTCCGCAATTGTATATGGTGTTAAATGCCATTCATTGGCATTTTGTGTAGTGTGTTTTCTAATGGTAGTATGTTTTCCTGTGTAGCATTCATGTGCCCAGATAATCTGCAGTACCAAGCATGTCTGCCTGCTTGCACTGCCCCATCCTGCCCAAACCAAGAGTTTGAGTTTGTCCCAGAGCAATGCACAGGCCTTTCAGAGGGCTGTGTGTGTCCAGAGGGAACTCTATTACACCGGCCCTATTCTGCCCTATGCATTCCACCCAGCAAATGTGGTATGCCCCTTGTCTGTCTCTCTCTCTTTTTAAAGGCATTTAGCTATTGTTATTCATTTATTTATGTTATGATATGTGTTTGCAGCATGTACTGATAGTTTTGGAACCCCACGTACACTTAAGGAGGTTTGGAAAGCCTCGCTGGACGGCTGCTGCATGTATAAGTGTGAGAACGACGGCATAGTGCCGGTGGAGTATAACTGCAGTAATATTCCTCAGCCAGTCTGCATGCGTACAGGAGAGATTACTGTCAGCCTTGCCATATAACTCGTATTAATTTAACTCATATATTAATGTATTAAACTAATGTATTATTTTACCATTATTTAATAAGTTTAGATATTTTGTGAGATTGTTTAATCTATTCTTAAAGGGATAGTTCATCCAAAAATGAAAATGTAGTCACCCTCATGTTGTTCCAAACCTGTATGATTTTCTTTCTTTTGTTGAACATAAAAGAAGATATTTTGCAGAATGCTGGTAATCAAACAGTTGATGGTCCCGATTGACTTCCATAGTATTTCTTTCCCTACTATGGAAGTCAATGGGGACCACCAACTGTTTGGTTCTTCAAAATATATATATATATATATTGTGTTCAACATAAGAAACGTATACAGGTTTGGAACGACATGAGGGTGAGTAAATGATGACAAAATTTTTGAAGTGAACTATTCCTTTAATTGTTTTGTGACAGTTTGTAACCAGAGCATGTGTAAGGCGGCTCCTATGGATTGTAAATATGGGGAGAAGTTGGTGTCATATCATAGGCAGGACTCCTGCTGCCCAGAATACTTATGTGGTGAGTTTGGACATATTTTGTGTCTTAGCTTATGTCTGTGAGTCTGTGTACTTGTGCATGCATACAAATTCATTTATGTTTATTGTTTTTTTTAGAGTGTGATCCTGATCAGTGTGTCTTGGACATTCCTGTGTGTCGTGAGGATCAGACATTGATCGCCACTCGTGCTGAAGGCAGCTGCTGTTTGGCACACATCTGCAGTAAGTCATTTTGATTAATGTTAAAATCGTGTTGTTCCAAACCCATATGACTGACTTTCTTCTGTGGAATAAAAAGTGAGAAATTGTTAAGACTTGTACAATAGATATTAGATATTATATAAAAGTTGTTTTGACTTGTTCATTACATTCCAAGTCTTTAGAAGTCATGTTCTGTGAGTAAATAGTGGGTAACAGTTTGAGTAAATTCTTCCTTTAAAACCAATTTCCACCCTATAATCATTATTTGATTTCAGCCTACCTAACCTTTGAAAGGCATGTACTGCATTAATGTGTATAATGTAAATCTTTAGCACAATCGTTAGTGCAAATAAAATCGATTTTTTTTGTGTGTGTGTGTGTTTATTATTGTGTTAGTGTGTGACAAATGTTCTGAGGCAGCTCCAGTGTGTCAAGATGGAGAACTGTTGATTGTGGACACAAACAGCACAGAGCGCTGCTGTCCAGTTTATCACTGCTGTGAGTACAAACACATGAATAAACAAACCGACATTTGCCATTTTCATTCCCAGTTGTGAGCTTATGGTAAGCCAGTTACAGTAGAAAAATAGAACAACAACCATTATCCACAGGAGAACAAGTAGCCTAATGTCACATAAAAACTGACAGCCCTCAAGCTCCACAAAACGAAATATTTTCAAAACACCACATTAGTTAAAGCAGGGAAGTGTTATTGTAACTGTGTTGTGTGTGTATATGTATGCAGTATGTGAGACGTCTCGATGCTTAGACATCACATGTCCAGTTGGCATGGCAGTAGTTTCCACAAGGATTCAAGATCAGTGTTGTCCATTACAGACATGTGGTAAGACCATCAAGCTAATAATTATGTTGTCTAAGTTTAGAAGTATTTACTGTGCATTAGATTGTCTTTGTTCAAGTGATATCAGTGTGACGGTGTGTCAGTACTGTTTATGTATTGCTTGTCTGTGTTTGCGTTTGTGTGTGTCTGTGAATGTGTGCTAAAGAAACAGAATGCAATTCTGTATTAAGTGTGCGTTTCTGAAAAAGACTAAAGCTCCTCTCTCTCTTAGAATGTGCATGTGAGAAAAACCTTCGTCCTAAATGTGCTCTGGTGAGTGTCCAGAAATTACTGTATCCAAACGACCATGTATTTTTGCATACATTTATTATTCCATTATTTGTGACCCTGGACTACAAAACCAGTCATAAGGGTCAATTTTTTGAAATTGAGATTTATACATCAGCTGAAAGCTGAATAAATAAGCTTTCCATTGATGTATGGTTTGTTAGGATATGAAAATATTTGGCCGAGATACAACTATTTGAAAATCTGGAATCTGAGGGTACAAAAAAATCAAAATATTGAGAAAATCGACTTTAAAGTTGTTCAAATGAATTCTTAGCATTGCATATTACTAATCAAAAATTAAGTTTTAATATATTTACAGTAGGAAATTTACAAAATATATTCATGGAACATGATCTTTAATTAATATCCTAATGATTTTTGGCATAAAAGAAAAATCAATAATTTTGACCCATACAATGTATTTTTGTCTATTGCTACAAATATACCCAAGCGACTTAAGACTGGTATTGTGGTCCAGGGTCACATTTGTGTCTGATCAGGCTCTTGTTTGGTTGGTTGGTTCATATCTGATATCAGATGTATTGTGTTGTAGGGGGAAAGTATGCAGTTAGACAGAGCATTTCTGTCTGATCCGGAGAACCGGTGTGCCTGCAAACGATTAATTTGTGGTGAGAACCCACATGTCTGTCGAAAATGCTCTGAAAATACATAAAAAAATAATAATAAAAAATATATATATATGTAATTTTTTATTTGTACATTTCTATGTGTGTGTATTTATAGTGAGAGAGGCAGTGTGTGTGGATGGTGAACGGGGAGTGATGCAGCCAGGGCAGACACTGGTCGAGCACCGTGATCAGGGTGTGTGTTACACCACACAGTGCACACACACACTGGATTCTGCCACAGGTTTCTATCTCCTCAAAGCCACTGGCACTAACTGCACTGCACGCTGCCAGCCTGTGAGTATTTAAAATGCACAAAGACACACATATACACACACAGGCCAAACACAAAATACCTCCTAACTGTGTTATGTGTTCTCCAGAACCAGATATACATCCCTCCTAAAGACCCCAGCAGCTGCTGTGGCATGTGTAAGAACATTTCTTGCCTGATCCGGAGTGAGAATGGATCTGTAACTATGTACAAGGTGATGTTCAGCAAATGCTCATGTTCTCCTCCACTCAAAAGCTGCACAGAACTAAACTACAGATCTACCAATAATCTTTAAAAGAGTTTTTGCTGCTTGCAAAAACATGATACATTTTTTAAGGATTCTTTGATGAAAGTTTAAAAGAACAACATTTTTTTAAATAGTGTATTTTGTAATATTACACAGTAAATATCTGTACTGTCACTTTTGACTAATTTAATGCATAATTGCAGAATAAGATATTAATAGATATAAAGATATTATATACATAGATATTAATACAACATATATATGTATGTGTGTGTGTATGTATGTTGTATTGAAGCCAAAATTAAAATGTTTAAAATCTCACATTTTCTAAAGACTCTCTTGCAGCACTTTGTTCCTATAGGGTCTGTTCTGCTGTGATGTGAAAGGATTCTCTGTGTTTCCCTCTCCAGCCAGGGCGCAGCTGGGTGTCTGACTGCATGCACTATGACTGTACGGACACTCTGTCAGGACCTGTGCTCGTCTCCCACCCCTACAGCTGCCCCCCTTTCAACGAAACTGAGTGCATGAAGGTGAATTCTCTCTCCTTGATAAACATAAACCTAAATAATACATCAAGGTACAAGATACACACAAACACATGCAAGTGAGACAGAGATGTACAATATAAAACTAATACATCATCACATTTCTAAGACAATGCTGGTCTTGATTCAGTGATGGTTACATACTTTCACTGACAGCTTCCTTTGTGACAAAAGATATGAAACAATAACAAGTAATAAACATTTAGCAAAACATAGCAAGTCATTAAATATGCTACTTTAAAAAAAAAAAAAAAGGGTCCCTTCTGTTTGACCCCTGCTACATTTTTCAAAATGTTCATCTTGTCTTAGATTGGGGGCACCCTCGTGAGTTACATGGATGGGTGCTGCAAGACATGTGAGTACAGAAGTTACATTCTTTTGTTCATTTCTGCTCTTGTTATAACAAGAAACATGGGTAATGTTAATATTTAAAACATTCATCTGTTTCTTTCACAAGTTTTTTGCACTCAATATGTATGAATGAAAACAAGAGACATGGCACAGGACTTTTGTTCTGTACCAGCAAGGTAAAGAGCAAAATTCATAAACCTAAACATAAAAACAATAAATCCTGGGAACAATCGAGAATTCATTTTTTCACTGAAAAGAAAAGTAAAAGCACTGACATGCACACAACAGCAAAAAATTCATTTCTTGCATCAGGCTGAGTGTAACGTTGTGTAACAATCTCTCCAGGCGCTGCAAACTCCCTGTTCCCCTTCTCTGTTAGCCCTTTGAAACCCACAGTTAGCACAAACTGTGAACAAGGTACCTGATACTAACATCAGACCTCAAGGCTCGCCATCACCATTGTTGATTTCCAACAATGTACTCCCCCTATTCAAACAATACAGGACTCTCAACAGATTCGAATTTAACTGCTCATTGAAGTCATTTATTCCTCTAGTCACTTTTCTCCCAGATGTTTCTTGGAAGCAGCTAAATCTTTCCCCATTTTGCTCTGTCGGGCAGTGCATTGTTGATTGCCAACAATGTACTGTTGGTAGTGGCCTGTTAGAGAGTTTCTGTAGCTCTGCATGATTCAGAGTGCTTAGGTTGTAGCATCTAATCACATAGCATGTGTAGTTTGTGGTAATGGGGTGTTTGGTAATGTTTTGGGTGATATGGCAACATTAGCAATACAAGCATTTTCCACATCTGTTGTCTCCTTCCAGTGCCACATTACTCAAACCATTACAGCTTCTGCTCACTACTGACCTATACGTTTTATTGGAAAATCAAGTATTGGGGCTCATTTGGGTCTTTTTTTTTATTTATTTTGAGGTGGTGGAACGACACTGATCTTGAGTACAAGTAAATTCAAATGTATCACTTATTTTCAGTAGATGAGTAGTTTTATAGTGATTACGTTTTTATCAGCTAAGTGGGGAAAGAATAGTATTATTTCCACTGTCAGTTATACATTACAAGAAAAAGTTGTTAAAGGGGTCATATGATGCGATTTCAAGTTTTCCAAGCTGTTCGTGAATAAATAAGATACATTTCCGTCACACGCTTGAGGTATTCGGCCAATCACAATGCACTGGATAGCTGGCCAATCACAGCACATCTCGCTTTTCAGAACGATGAGCTTTGTAAAAATCGACGCGTTTCAGAAAGGCGGGGCATAGAGGAGAAACAATAATGTACAGTATGTGGAAAATAATGTGTTTTTTAACCTTAAACCGCATAAACACATTGCATTACACCAAATACACAACATAATGTTCTTTTTAGCAACATCATATGACCCCTTTAAGAAAAATATGAACGACTGGTGAGATGAAGAGACTCTAACCAGAGCACTTCTGTAGGTATTAAAGTAAGCTGTGTATGTAGCCATCAGCAGTCTAAAGATCTGATTTTGTTTGGTAGGTGAGAGAGCTGTTGTCTCATAAGCTGTCATCGTGGCAGCAGTCATGTGCGCAGCCAACCAAGCTCCCGGAGCGAGCGCTGAGCCTGCTGCGTCACACCGCCCCCCAGAGCTCTGGAGGAGCCGGACTCGCCGAGGTCCTGCGCAACGCTAAACTGGGAATCACTCAACACGGAGAACAGGTTTATCAAATACATACTTGGGCATTTTCACTTTGTCACAATGCAAAAAAAAGACAGAATGGTGAACATAGTGAACATAATGGTCATAAAATAGGATTCATGTTTTTTATGTAAAATATACTCTAATTTCATTCATTTAATGAATGGCTGTGCTCAAAGTTGAATATCAAAGTGTTTTGTGTCTGTTAATCATGGATGTGTGGACACATCAATGTTTTTAGATTTGTGGAGTAAAAAATATTGGGTAACACTTTAGAATAGGGAACACTTGTTCACTATTAACTACGACTTTTCCCTCAATAAATTCCTAATTTGCTGCGTATTAATAGTTAGCAAGGTAGTTGTTAAGTTTAGGTATTGGGTAGGATTAGGGATGTAGAATAAGGCATTAATATGCGCTAATAAATGGCTAATGTTCTAGTAAAATTCATGCTAATAAGCAACTAGTTAAGAGACCCTAAAATAAAGTGTTACCAAATATTGTTTTCATTTTGAAGAAAAAAGCAAAAATTAGACTCAGGACTAGTGGCATGTTGTTACTTACTATTTAATTTGGGTTATTATTCAATAATTTCCTGATTTAAATGTACATTTCTTCGCTATTCATTAAAACCTATAGTGAATTAATTTAATCTGAATTTACAGTGTTGCTATTAAGACATATCTTAAGATTAAAATAAATTATTTTTAAATAAATGAAATATGTAAATATTGATATTCCTCTATATAAATCATATAATAAATTTACTTTTCAGATGAATCTCTTTCACTGAGATTCAGGATTGCTTTGTCTGTGATTAACTATTAAATTGTCAAAACACAATTTGAAATATAATAGTTGACTTGGTATTTTATATGAATGGCATTTTTATTTAATGTAATATAATATAATATACATACATTTCATTACTTTTATAACATTTATTACATGCTTTCAGTTTTTTTTTTTAGTTTGTCAGTTTTTTCTCTCATTTAGAACATGTGAAAATTTTGAGCAATTATTTTAGCATATTTTCCGCAATACATAAATAATTGTATAATGTATTGTTCTTTACTTTTCAAAATAGCGTTCTAAAAATAAAAAAGCACACCAAATACATGCAGCTGTATCATGCACTAAATTCTTCCAAAGTAAAATAAAATAATCTTGAGTACACACACTAACATTTTACCTGCTGAAAAATTGCTCATATAATATGCTTAGTTTTTGTGTACTATACTATATGTATATTTCCATTTTCAATAAAAAATTATTACAAAAAACTTTTTAAAAACTGTAGAGTTTCTATTTGTGTTTGAGTTTTAATCAGTGCATATTATATCTGACTTTTTACATTTTTCAAAACTGCCGTTTCAATGGTTTCTGGATGTTCTAGTAGGCATGTGTCGGCTCCTGCTGGTGCACTTTTTCAACCAACATGTCGAATAGTATTTATTTTTGGAGGCCTCTTAAATACATTGTTTTTCCTGTCTGCTTCCCTTCATGTGGTGCTATCAGCCAATCACAGCCAATCACAAGCTTCAGTGTAATACATGGTATATTCGACTCATTGGCTTAAAAACTGTCAAGAACCAAGATTTTGAAAAATGTAACTGTGCATTAAGACATTTAGATCCATTTACAGATAAGAATCATTCTTTTTGGGTGGGATGACATATCATCACTGGTTAATTAACCATCAATCTGCAGCAAACATGAATACATATGATCAGGGGCCCATTGTGAGTTAGAGAAATGCAGGGCCCCCCTCGGTAGTTCTCAGGATGACAGGACTGATCATTTGGTTCTTGAAATGCTGCCTGCCTTAGTCTGTTCGTTTTGCATAAAAATGGCTTGTACTAGTTCAAGTTTCGAATTGTACAAGTTTCAAGATTCATCATGAACATGTCAACTAGGCTTATAAGGTTCATATTCAGTTTGACTTAGTGTTTCAGCATCAGATTTTCTCAGTATAATCAGGAAACATGCTCAATTCTAGTTTATCAGTCTTGAAGAATAACTTTATTGAACTGCCAGATGCAACAGATAAAGCTGGCGAGCCAAACATTATTTACAAAAACGGAAGGTGGGAACCTAAAGACAGAGCAAGGGGGGACGTTCCTACTGCAACTACTGTTATAGAATTAAATATTCTACATGGAGCCCTCTTTAGGTTCTTGGTCTAACATTTTACCTGCTGAAAAATTGCTCAATACATAATATGCTTAGTTTTTGTGTACTATACTATATGTATATTTCCATTTTCAATAAAAAATTATTACAAAAAACTTTTTAAAAACTGTAGAGTTTCTATTTGTGTTTGAGTTTTAATCAGTGCATATTATATCTGACTTTTTACATTTTTCAAAACTGCCGTTTCAATGGTTTCTGGATGTTCTAGTAGGCATGTGTCGGCTCCTGCTGGTGCACTTTTTCAACCAACATGTCGAATAGTATTTATTTTTGGAGGCCTCTTAAATACATTGTTTTTCCTGTCTGCTTCCCTTCATGTGGTGCTATCAGCCAATCACAGCCAATCACAAGCTTCAGTGTAATACATGGTATATTCGACTCATTGGCTTAAAAACTGTCAAGAACCAAGATTTTGAAAAATGTAACTGTGCATTAAGACATTTAGATCCATTTACAGATAAGAATCATTCTTTTTGGGTGGGATGACATATCATCACTGGTTAATTAACCATCAATCTGCAGCAAACATGAATACATATGATCAGGGGCCCATTGTGAGTTAGAGAAATGCAGGGCCCCCCTCGGTAGTTCTCAGGATGACAGGACTGATCATTTGGTTCTTGAAATGCTGCCTGCCTTAGTCTGTTCGTTTTGCATAAAAATGGCTTGTACTAGTTCAAGTTTCGAATTGTACAAGTTTCAAGATTCATCATGAACATGTCAACTAGGCTTATAAGGTTCATATTCAGTTTGACTTAGTGTTTCAGCATCAGATTTTCTCAGTATAATCAGGAAACATGCTCAATTCTAGTTTATCAGTCTTGAAGAATAACTTTATTGAACTGCCAGATGCAACAGATAAAGCTGGCGAGCCAAACATTATTTACAAAAACGGAAGGTGGGAACCTAAGGACAGAGCAAGGGGGGACGTTCCTACTGCAACTACTGCTAAGACCGGACAGCGTTAATATCACGCAGGGTGTGGAAGATCGCCTTTGACAGCCTCTGGTAAACTGCAAATGGTGGGTGGGATCAGAGATGCCTGGTAAATGAAGGCAGAGCACGGAGATGCAGGCAGCAGGCATGTCTTGACCACGACTGTAGATTTCTCCATGAACGCTTACTTTCTGCGGCGAGCAGCGGCGCCCTTCTTGGAGCTGAATAGCAGACAAAGAAAGAGCGAGTTAGTGGTGCTGACCTTTACTGACCTGCTAGTAGAAGAGTGAAAAAAACACCATACAGGACAGGGATCCGTTTGTTTTTTTTAAAATTGTCATTCCTCAAATTTGAGTTCTCAAATCCTAAGCACAACAGCCTATGTGACTGCTATTTTTAGCAA